AGCTTGTGCCTGTTATTACAGCTTGTGCCTGTTATTACAGCTTGTGCCTGTTATTACAGCTTGTGCCTGTTATTCTGGCTTGAGCTCGCTGCTTTGGGTTGCACCGGGAGGCATTCGGCCACTGAGGCTGCAGCAGCAGTGAGCAGGGTCTCGTTAGCTAGGAGCTCGTGTGTGGGCTGCAGCCTCCCCTTCATCGTGGCTTCTTGCATTTTAAGCATTTGTCTTGTGTTTTCTTCTGCGATTTCACACACTGTTAACTGCATTTGTGCTTAAGGAACTCCTAACCCAGTAAGTTAGCCCAGGATCTAAACCAAATGCAGTGCGGTTCCTGTTCTTCTCCTGCACGAGGGTGAACTGGTTGGCTGGTTTGGAGCCCTTCACTTGGGTGCTGTGAGGTCGCCCTGGGAGCAGTGGCGGTGCTGTGTCCCTCCTCAGGCTGTGGCTGAAAACCACTTCAGGTCAGTGGTAACAGAATTGATTGTTGCTGTGCTTTAGGGGTGTGAATTGAGCGGTGGTGTGGGGCACTGCTTGTGGATGGATGTCTTTCAAAATGAAGACCAAAACAAAGCAACTCAGCTTCTCTCCATTTGAACCCCCTGCTGCAAGTAATGAGCACTGCCATCCCACTTACAGGTCTGCATCTCTTACCTAGAACAGAGGTCATTCTGGGTTAAGATGGCTTGTATTGATCGAACAGAGCTGGGAAGCTTGTGCTGTATCTACCACTGCCTACAAATGTTCTTATCTCTAAGCAGAGAGAGCAGATTTCAACAGCTCTGAAGAGTGTGGCTGGTCGTATTTTGAATGAAAAAGCTCTTGCCGTTATACAACAGCAACAAACACTGAAATCTTTAGCTCAGTCAATCTCCTATCCCATTGATTTTGCTGGTAGGGAGATGTATCTGTAAGGTGGAGGTAATAATTCACTCCTATCAGTTACAGTTGTGTTCCTAGTAAGCTTAGATTAAAATCTGAAGGTGCTCTGCCACATCTGAGCATCACACTGAGATGTTTTTTTCTTCCGTAATTTTAGATAGGAGGTTTTGAAATAAAGCTCTGTGTCAGCAAATCTAACCTGTGGAATTTCTGAGACCACAGAGTAAAAATATACTTCTTTATTCACCTGGATTTAATCATTTGATCTCCTTTTTCCCTAGGTTTCCAAGACCAGGGGGCTGTATGAGGAAATTTCTCCTGTCTGTTAGGAGTTGGGAAGCAAGCCCTTTTTTTTTTTTTTCTTCTCCTGTAAGCTTTGGCTTAAGTCCATGTTTAAAGATTGTAATAAGCAGTGCGTATATAAAGCTCCACAAAGCCATGAATTTGCTATTTCTGCTTCCTCTAGCTAGGTGGAGAAGAAAATAATTATTGCAAATCTAAAATTTTAATGGCTTAATACACAGAAATGTCCAGGAGTCTCGTTCCCTTAAATAGCTCCCGGAGAGTGCTTCGTTGTAATTATATTTGCAGTATGAGTAATAAGTGATAGAAATGCAGTGTAATGTGTTGGAAAGGAGCTGACAATGGTATTGCTAGCAAAGTTAATTTTAGAGTGGGGAGAGACTTCACCATTAATGTGAAATGATAGAAAATTACCTTTTCAAGAACAGTGCAATGAGAGGATGAGTCCTGTATGCAGCACTTAATTTTCTTCCTTGGGTGCAGTGGTGGCCAATCACCCCCACTTTCAGAAGCCCTTTGCTGATGCTTGGCTGCTTCTTGATATGACGAAAGGCTCTGCTTTTGTGCAGCTGCAGGAATTCAAGGACAGCTCACTTCCTTGGGGCTCTGTCCTTGTTTGCCTCGTGGCTCGTGAAGATTTTATGGGGAGGTTTTAGGGTTGCCTTGTTTTTCCTCTGATGTGTTGTTTTAATTGGCTGCTGCTGTGCTGGTCTACCATGCAGGTCTACCTTGAATGTTTCTGAAGGTAACAGCGCAGTAAGGCCACTGGTAACAGAGAGATGATTGATTGCTCCTTGTAGCTTTGAGACGTGTTTCCAAGTAATCTCAGCATCCAGGGCCCTTCTGGGAATGCAGCCTGACTCGGCCCTAGCAGTTTGGGTGTGGGTTCTCCCAGTGCAGCTGTGCCTCCTGGAAGCTGGGTGCTTCTTTGACCTCTCCGTGCTTTCTTTCACTGCTTAACAAAGGGAAATGAATGCTTAAGACTGTTCTGTTTCCTTGCATGTCTGTTGCCCTTGCTTAATGACTCTGAGGCTGCTTTGCATCATTTCTTACCCCTTCTCTAGAAGGAAGAATTTGAGATTCTTCAGCCAGAACACATTCAGTAATCCTTTCACACTCATCCTGGAAAGCTGGGCTCTTTAGGAAGTTGCTGTGTGCTGATATTTCTCAGGTATTCTGCCTTTCATCCCTACCCTGCTATGGCCGTGACTCAGCTCACCTCACATTAACACTGGGAGCAGTTCTGTTGTGCACAGTACCACTCATTTCTGACAGCACCTTCAGGGGCTGAGGCTGCTGGGCCAGGAGATGCCAATCGCTGCTGTTCCCCATCAGGGTGAAGTGCACCCTGCTCTCAGCACACGAAGACAGCATGTGTGATAACCTTGGGTGCCGTCTCACAGCAGCACTTAACCTGCAGCTGTAAGGATTTGTGCTTTTGGTTTTTCTCTGCATTCTGCTGTTTCTATCCTTTATACAAAATATCTTTTTTCTTTTCTTTTTTTGGTGGTGGATTTATTCTTGAAATGTAGAAAACTTCCACCGTGCTTTAATGACAGAGGAGAATGTCCTGATAGTTCCTGTGTTACAAAGCTGTTAATACAGTACAGAGTTTCTGGTAGTACGTTCTAAAGTAGTTCAGAAATGCAAAAAGCATTATTCAAAGCATTGGCTTTGGTCTTTCTTTTGATTTGCAACGATTCCACGTCACGGATATTGAATAGGAGTCAGAGAGGAGCATGGGCCAGCTGTAATTCTTGCTAAAGATGTGCTCTTTATTAGCAGAACAAACAGTCATGAAATATAATACTTTATGGCTCTTGTGGGGAGGTAGACAGAGGGGAAATAACCCCATTTGTCTTTGGGATCAGTTAGACTTAACTTTTACTGGCTCGCTGTCTGTTCTCAAGGAGAAATGCTTATTTAAAACACAGAACTTGGGAATATGAGATAAATAGTGGCTCGTTCAGCGTAAGTCACAGGTCAGACATGACTAGTAAAATATTGAAAAACAAGTATTAGGCTGTAAACGGGAAACAATAAATGAGAGAGCTGATTGCTGGGCAGGATGTGTTCTCCTGAGGGAGCAGCCTGTGTGCTCTGGGTCCCACTGCTTTCTGTGCTGCCCGCTGGCTTTGGGACTTCTGCTGGGGAAGGCAGCACCGTGACACCCTGCAGCACTGTGTTCCTTCTGAGGCCACACAGGTTTGTGATGCCTGTGATGCACTCAGGGCTCCATCAGTGCCAGCTGATGATCGTGCTGCCAGTTGGTTGGTTGGTTTTTCCCCTGGTCATGCTTCTGACTGCTGACCTTCTCTACAGATGTGTTGGTTGGTATGCAACACCTCTGTGCTGCAGGGAATAGAATCACAGAATGGTTGGGTGTGAGTTGGGGTATCTGGGGAGAGCTCTGTGGAGCTCAGGCAGTTTGGTTCCTTTTAGAAGTCAGCCCAGTGCTATAATATACAGAACTTGTTGAAAATGTTAAAGCTTTGAGGCTGTTCTTCCTGTTTCTAGTGCTCAGTATCACTGCATTACCTTGAAAATACTGCATCTTTTTCTTGCAGATAACCTGTGGTGCAGCTGGGCTGCGGCAGGAGCCCTGTGCTGTCCTGTGTGGGTCGCAGCACTGGCCCAGCCCAGGAATTCTTCTTGAAAACACTTTTTGGTGTGCAGACAACATGAAAGATGTCAACACCAAGGTGCTGGGATAGCTGATTTTTTTGGAAGTAGCAGTTTGGTGTGCATTGATTAAATGAGGAGGAAAGAGATGAAGGTGAAAAGGCAGCAGGCACGGAGGGGGGCTGGGCAGGCCTAGTGGGAAGGGCTGACTGCAGATGGGGTCCTGTGAAGCTCACCCTCTTTGGCCACTGCGTGCACTGCTATGCACTGCTCTCACTTCGTTGGGTTTCTTTCTCATGCTGGCTTCCTGCTCCAGATCCCCCGTCAGGCTGCAGGGTTTCCTTCCTGTCTTTTCCCCTTCTTGGAGTGACTAGTGTTGTTCTGCTCCACTTTCTGCTTTCTTTATAAATTATACATTTGTGTGGCTCTAGCTTTTTCTATGAGTGTGCATTTTGGGCTTTTTTTCCTGCTGTTCTGAATGGTAATGAGCACCCTGGGGAAGCAGGGCTGCAGGTGGCTGCGCTCCACCAGGTGCAGCACTTTGCCTGTGCTCCTTTGGTGCTGGGACACAGCTTTAGGTACTGGGATGAAGGAGTTTAGAGAAGAGAATGAAGCACTAAAAGAATCCTTTTCAAGTTATATTTTTAACTTGCTATGGTGCTTAGTAATTGGTTCAATGCAGCTTTTTGCTCAGAGTTCAGTTATCAGTGGGTACCCTAGCTGCTGTGTGTAGCAATCTCAATGACTGAGGAACACAGTTGCAAACTGTGGTTTATCCCCTTTTTTTGGCCACAAGTATCTAAAAGAGCACCAGATCTGGATGATTATGAGGACTTGAGAAGAAGTGACTTAAGACAGAGTCTGTCTGAATTGCCCGTATCATTGTGTGTAATGGCATCAGATATCCAATATCCAATGGCTTTCTTGGCCATTGGGTGTTTCTCCTTTTATTGGTTTTGGTTTTAATATTAGAAAGGATATAATATGTTCTAATATTGATCAGTGACCCTGAACGGCACATTCACATGTTTTAATAATGTATTTCCATTGAGCAGTGACTATTTAAGATGTGTAGAAGAAATCCAATGACATCCATTTCCATGCTGTATTAAAGATACGTGTAAAAATAGTAATGTAAAAACCAAGTCCTATTCTTGCAGAGTGAGTACTGTTCTATTAAAACATTCTACTGCTCCCTTAAAATGAAAAATGTAATCAGCCTTGCCTTGCTTCAAGTAGTCCGTGTTAAAGAGCACATAACAAAGCATAGCTGAAACTTCAGAGTTTGTAGTAGTGGTAAAATTTCAACCCCCAAATGGATCCGTTTCCATGCTAAGTGAATGTTTTATTGTCTTTCCAGATGAAGACTGTTAGTGTTGCCTTAGTTTTGTGCCTAAATGTTGGCGTGGACCCTCCTGATGTGGTGAAGACCACCCCGTGTGCCCGCCTGGAGTGCTGGATAGGTAGGTTGAGAGCTGCTGAGCTCCAGGAAACTTTTGGCTAACAGACATTGAGGTATCGCATGTATGGTCATCTCAAAGTTGTGTGCTTCCTGAACTTAAAACTGGGGTGAGCTGAAGGAAGTCTGCTGGATGATTTGTATGTGTCCATCAGTAACTGCTGCCATAGGTCATCTTTTCTGCTTTGTTTTAAAATGGAATATCATGGAGAAAGAAGAACGAGCTGCTAATTAGCTACTTACCCCTTTTTTTTTTAAATTTCTGTAGCTTAATAAGTATCTAAAGAAATTTCTGAGCAGTCACATCTTTGGAGTACTCTGCTCTGCAAAGGTTTAAAGTCACCCTGTGTCACATAATAGAGAAATGTCTTGAACATGTGTGGACTTCACTGCGTTTTGAGGTGGCAGCTCTGAGGCTGTTTGAATTGGGAGCATAAATTCAGAAGAGCTGGAACTATTCCCAAGAATGTCTTCCAGCTGTGCCAACACATGGGCTTTTTATTTTGATGCAGCGCTGGGTAACTTCCTAATTCTTTGTTAGGAAGCAAAAAGTTTCCTTGGTTTCAATGCTGATTTTCAAGATGAGGTTAAGTCTGAAATAATATTAAAGGTGAAATACCTTGGGTAAGAAAATGAAGATATTTGGATTTCATGTAGGAATGGGAAATATCCAGTCTTTAGCAAGTGACACACACAGCCCCATAATCCTACTTGTTGAGGTGCATAATAGGCTGCGGTAGCCAATTTATCATTGTACAAAATGAAATTATTGAAAAAACAAAACCAGAAACCGAAAAACTTTCAGAACATCTCATTTCTAACTTGCTTTATGAATCGACAGCATCTCTTTCTTTTTTTTTTAAACCAAAAACTGCTGATGACTTTATAGCAATTAAAAAACCATGAGCATGCACTAACAAATACGTCCAGTCAGTGGAGAGAACAGCTCCTCGTTTTTCACTTATACATGGGTAGAGAGCAAAGAGAATGAGGAGTATTGCAGAGTCATTAAAATAAAGTTATTAGTGCTTATCACCAACAAAGAGAATTTTGAATGCAGTTTTTTAATTAAATTTTTAGTGTGTATCTGCACAAGTATTCATTTCCATTGCTGCTTCCTTCAGAAACTTAAAGCTGCAAAAATATCACTGTTTTCTCTTCTGTGTATCAGTCTTAAGAGAAGCTAATGGTGTGTGTTGTGGAAGCATAATGTCTCTGCCAGATGTAGAAGACAGCGTGGAAAGCATTTTGGGGCCATTGCTGTTAGTAAAGGCTGAGCTGCGGTCACCAGCCTGGGCGCTCTGCTGACAAATGGCCACCAGCATCTCTGCCAGAAGCCAGTTGCAGCTCCTGTGTGCTTCCAGATGTGCCTTGGGACAACAGGGGTGCTGTGGTTCCTCCACAGCTCGGCCGTGGCTGGTGTTGTGCAGGGCTGGCGCTGCCAGAGGCTCAGGGAGCTCAGTGCTGAGCTCAGCCTCGGCACCTTCAGCCTGCTGCACTGCTGTGTGGGCAGTGTTCATCGCTCTGAAGGCCCTCCCAAGTCCACCCAACTGTTGTTCAGCTCAGTGGTATCTGCTTGGAACCGGCCTTAAGTATCAAGGGCACTGTCACGGTTCAGAGTGCCGGAGATTGCTGCGATACGTGGAGACGAGTGCTGAAACTGCAAGGTCTGCAGAGAGGATTGAAGTGTTTGTTCTGTTCTGGTGGTGCTTCTGGAGCAGCAGCTGCAGCTAAGCTGATAGAAGTGTGCATCTTGAAGCCTGAGCAGAAAACTGACTGCTTGTGTTTGTTTTCTGTCTGGCAAAATGCAGATGATTCGTTACCTCAGATCCTTCTGCAGAAGGATACTGCATTTCCAATAAAATCCCGGGTTTAATGCATGTCAGAAATTCTGCTTTCATCATACCTGGTTGTGTTTTGCTTTTAATGGTGTGAGATAGAATATTCATAAAGATGATATTAAAAATGTCATTGATTCAGTTAATTGCTTTTAAAATAATTTGTATTAAATTGCAAAGTATTAGCTTCTAGATTTTTGGAAACTTGTTAAGTGTCAATTATATGGCCATGATTTTTGAATGAAGCACATAAGCTGATATTTTACTCGCTATGGATTGTAGTAATTATCTGGTGATGAAATTAACTTCTTAAAATGATTAAATATTTGATAATTTTCTTCTTGATAAATGCAAAATCCTGCTTCATTTACTACCACTGCTTCCTGCTTCCGACGTTACGCACCGTTTGTGATCTTCACGTAAGCTGTTTCAATTGTGGTCATTATTTACTACAGAAACTTCCTGTCAATATTAACAGCAACAAGTGTTAAGCCTCGCTTCTCTTTTGAAACAGTGCTATTGATTACCTTTGTGAGACCTTCTTCCACGTCTGGCAGGCTCTAGTGGTTTTTAATTTGTATTTGAGTGAAGAATTTGGGAATCATTTGGGTCTCCCAGGTCACAGGTCTGAATTTTACAAAATACAACTGAAGGCTTCAATGCGTATAGAGGTGTAAATGATTTTGTCCTGAGTGATTTTTCAGCTGCGGTCAAAAAGATTCATTTGCATTTTTATTTCCTAGATCCTCTGTCAATGGGTCCTCAGAAAGCTCTGGAAACCATTGGTGCGAATTTGCAGAAGCAGTATGAGAACTGGCAGCCAAGAGTAAGTATTCCTGGGGCTTCCCCTGTGAGCTGCAGGCGTGGTGCTCCTCCAGGGCTGGTGCTCAGCTCTATTGAATCCAATTGCATAGCTGTTCTGGGGCACGGTGTCTGGCAGCAGTGGTTGCTGCCATCATCCATCCGTGTGAATAAATTCTTGCAGGCTGTCAAACTATCCTGTTCTTTAGCTGGTGTCTCTTTAGGCTGGTGCTTAATTCAATCATGTCTGGGATATTTGTTTTAAGTACTGCGTTCTACAGCTGAATTCTTAATTTATGTTCTTGATTTTTTTGAGATGTTCTCTGATCTTTCATTCTGAGTTTGTGGTTTTCTCTGTAATAAAAATGCGTTTGCCCTCAGCTGCTACAGAAGTGTGTGTCCCAGAGCTCATCAGCACTGTTCTGAACTTGATTGGAGAAAGTCAATGTGGTGCAGTTAGTAGTGGAGGGAAGCTTTTGGTTTTGATGACTTCAAAGCTTTGTTAATGTCTTAATTCAAACTATGTATGGTGTGTATATAAGCTTTTGTAGAATGTGGGTTTAAGTTTTTGAAATAGTAATGTAAAAAGTTAAAGGTGGCAGTGCTGGCTGTTTGTTTCCTGTTTGTAACAGCTCCGTCTTGCTTTTGGGGGAGGTGCATTGCTTCTGGGTGCATGGTTTTGTGTGTCTCTGTAAATAAACTACACAAGGGTCTCCAGAAGGAAATGTCACGTCTGCAGCATGCTTCCAATGGACACAGGAATCAAGCTGTAGCATCGTGTTCGCAATTAATGTTCCCCAGTATGTTTGTGTCCTTATCTGTATGCTGTAGGCAGTTTGGATCAGAATATTCCTCTTCAGAGTACCTCAACTATTGACTACCAAGGCATAAACTTGTGATGATAAACAAATAACATGTAACCCACACAGAAATAATAACTCCATTGAATGAGCTTGCCTGTAGATTTGCCTTTTCCCTTATGGAGCAGCACTAATTCTAAGATCTTCATTTTAAGGAGGTATGGATCTTTTAAGGGGACACTGTTGGATCTCTTCTTGTTTTCTTTCCCCACGTTTTCATTCCTTCATAAAGGACCAATTGTGGATAAGAGACAGATGGCTTTGGCTTTGCAGTAGTGTATAGTTTTTTTCTTTGCTAGCCACTGGGAATGTGTTTCACCAAAAAAGGTGGTTGGGCTGTGTGGTTTTGAACAAATGCTGGATGGTTCTTCATTGGATGCATTGAGTCCCCCTTCTGCTTTTTAACTCAAACTTAATGGAATAATAATGTATTCTGAGCAGTCTGAACACAAATAAGTGTAGTATGGGCTCTTTACCTCTTACCTGTGTTGGATACTTCTCTGCCCCCTTATTCAAGAGTGCCCAAGTAGAACTGGTTTATCTTTCGTTAGCAGCTCGTTACCTGAAGGAGACCTGCTGTATTAAGCAGTGAAATGCTTGCATTACCAAATCTTTGGGTCATCTGCTACAGAAGGCTTCAAATGTGGATGTTCAGAGGGTTTGCTTTTTTTCTGGAGCGTGGTGTGTGTTTATGTAAGAGGGGTTACTCTTGAAGCATATGTGGTGTATGCTTAAAGCAGGAGAATTTCCTGTTGCATTTTTCCTTTTATTTTTTTTTTCCATCTCTCTGCCAGCCCAGAGATTTGGCAGCGAACACAAACAGCGTCTGAAACCAAATAGGAAGAGTAAAACATCTCGATGCGAAGGTGACGCCAGAGCTCTCTCTGCTCCTCGGCACCGCAGTCCGTGTTAGTGAGGAAGGAGGGCCAGGCTCCTGGAAGCAGCAGGCGCTCTGTGTGGGCTGAGCTCACGCTGCCTCGTAGAGTTTGCACAAAACACGAGGCAATTACCCCGCTTGGATGTTTGTGTGCAAGGTGCCTGCTTCATAAGAGTAAATCACAGCCCTTTGAAACATTGCAAACCTAAACACGTAGCGTTTTATTGCACTCTACAGGGCTCTTGAGTTTTCTGCAGTAATAAAGAGAAGTTGATGTGCCATCTGCAATAAAACAATAGGAACATTATTGAATTTCCTAGACCTTTCATATAAGTACTAATGCAGCTAGTTTTGTCTATTTCTCAGTGTTTTGGAATGGCAGAAGAACTGATGGAAAGAAGACGATTCTGGGCAAACTAGGTGTGTTACTGGTTTGTTACTGTGGGTCCTTAAGCCAAGAAGTGTCATTGATATCTTACTGTGGATGCACAAATAGTGCTAACTGCTGGGAAATGGATCGTGTCAGTCCTTCCAGGACTGTTCCTATAATAGATGTTGTGTGAGAAGTCCTCTAACATCGCTACCAGTGCAGCCCTTGTCTGCTTGTGACTGCAAGATGTAGTTTGAGTAAACGCCTGTATTTGTCACATGCAGATAGTTTAGGTGGAAAAGCCTCAACAGGGACAAGGATGAAAAGTCTTTGTTTCTGGGAGCTCCCAGGCTGCACAGCTGATGCATATTTCCCTTCAGGTCTTATCGAGCCCCTTTCTAAATAATTTATCAGCTTGCCATGGCTTGAAGTATTTCTGCTGATTAAATTTAAGGCTTTGCTTTATTGTTGTGTAGCTACATAAATTTGTGTGCTGCAGGAGTGAAGAAAACACTTCAGACATTCTTTTATCTGCAAAATACTGCAGTTAAACAATGTTCAGTCACCTCACTGCTATTCTCAAATGAAAATTTGAACGGGGGAAGGACGGAGCAGATGACAAAGGTGCAGACACACGGCGAAGAATTCATCTTCACAGAATTCTTCTGAACAAGTTAGAGCTCTTGCAGTTCAGTGCGGTGATAATTCAGGTTCCAGTGAATGAGTGGGAAGAAAAATAGACTGCCCTTCTCCTGTATTACCACCTGCCAGGGGCTTTGAGTTCTGCTGGGCGCTGAAGGGGTTAAACGTCAGGGTAATCTGGAAAGCAGGCTTAATTACAGGGGATAAATGGGGCTGCTTAAGCAGCTGAGAATGAAAGGAGGAAAAGGCAGAGAAAGTGAAGAGCTGGGACCCCATAGTGGGGGTCTGGGAAATTGTCCTTGTGATGGCTGTGTTTGAGGGAATCTGCAGCTTGCTGGGCTGGGGGAGGTGGAGGAGCTGGGCAGAACCAGGGCACTGCTTGTGGGACCTCCGTTACAGATTTGGGCCTGCAGCATCAGGAGAGCACGGTGATAAAGGCGAGCCCTTAGCTGGGATAATGCGTTGTGTCACTTTAATTGCCTGCAATAAAGTACTTGTGGAGTTTCTTTTGGAGATTTATGTGCTCAGTGTTTAGATAAGAAATTGATCACACTGGAATGGTACTTCTCTGCTTCTGGTTTTCTTCTGTTACCCTTTGCAGAATGCTGCCTGTGTCAGGTGCAGCATAGCAGCGAATGGCTCGCAGGAACAGTTTGCTAGTACTGGCAGTGAGAAATGAGTGTTTTCCACGTTGTTTGTTTACAGCTTTAATGTTGGCAACATTGCAAGTTACACCGTTCAAAAGGAAGGAACTTTCCTTAGTTAAAAGTCAACAGTGTTTGTTTGCAAATAGGAAAAACAAACTGAATTGGGAGTGCTGCTGCAGTGAGACGCTTTGTGGAGGTGAGCAGCTAGCGTGGATCTTCACGAGCAGAAGCGACTGTTGCATAAGTCCCAGTCCACATCCATTTATCAGCACTTGCAGAACTCGAGTTCTCTGCTGTGATACTGTGCAGAGGACAGAGAGGAGGAGGGTGCAGTTCAGCCCTGGTGCTGCCCTGCACAGCACCTGAGCAGTTGGAGTGTGCTTTTCTGTGTTCCCTGGGCTGCAGCTCTCAGAGCTGGGATGCAGTACTTCTGTATGAAAGCACCCATTGCCCCTTGTCAAATATGAGGTTGACCTGTGATTTCTGGCTTCTTTCTTAGATGCCAGACGTTGTTTTCCCCCCTCTCCCCCCTGTAATGGACATCTCATCTCTTGGCTTCTGGCTTTCACAGAAGTGAGTTTCCTTGGTTTCCATTCCTGTGTATTTGCCTTCATATGAGAACGGGGCTGTGTAGCCCAAGGCAGAATTGTAGGTTGAATGATGCACAGTTCACATAATTCAGGATCTGGTATAAAGTAGTCTGGAGAATATGCTCATTAAATTTGCATGAAATTACAGCTTTTTTTTTTTTTTTTTTTTTGTCAGCTATGGCTTCTGACCGCTTTCTTTATTTCTAAACTGCCTGGAAAATTTTGCCTTTCTCTCATCACAGCCTATAATTTGACACTCTTGTGATTTCTGCTAGTCCAAATGAATTCCAATCGCTCTCCTATACCAGGTGCTTTTTGCATCTGATAGAAACTTTCCCAGTTCTACCATTGGCAGGTTAAAAAACAAACAAACAAAAAACAGTTTGTGAGTTTCCTGAAAGAAAGCTATCTCAGAGATGCTTACCTTCCTCCATTACTTGTGCATTAACACCGGAGGCACAGGGCTTGCCTCGTTTAAAATCAGCATTTTACATTTTTGTGAAACCTTTCTTTTCCTGAGGGCTTTTGCCACGTGGGGGTCTTTGCTCAGCTGGTGGTGAGACAGCCGAGGAGCGGATGGTTGTGACTCCCATAGGTGTGCTTTGCTAAGGCTTCATTTCCTTTTAACGGCACTACAGCAGCTTAGAGGAGCTGTGCTTTGGAGGAAGGCTCTGTGGAGCCAGGCTTTGGTGCTGGGCCCTGCGAGATCTGGGGCATGGAGCCCCCTGAGCTGCTCTGAGATCCAGCTGACTGGTTGTGCTGGGACCTTGCTTTTGTGTGGGAACCTCTATTTCAAGCTGAAGGTCAAGTGTGCTGTGGAATTTGGGATTTTTACTTCCTCTGATAAGTCACTTAATGGAGTGTGACAGGTTTGTACCTCTCAGAGATGTAACAGAGTGAGATCTGTTGTTTGTTGTCTGTGCAGCATCTGTTCCCCACTCACCTTCCTGTCCTTTCAGGCCAGCAGATCTGGGACTTCTCTACTTCCCCTGGTGACAAGCAGCACCAGCAAAGCCAAAGAGCTTGAAACACTGCATCC